TTGAGTAACGTAACGGAATACGTTACAGAATACATTTTGGGGCATGTATTCTGTATTCTGTAATGGAATACATTTTAAAAGTAACCTTCCCAACACTGAGGAGTGGTAATTTAATCTGTAAATAAATTAGGAATTTAGTCCTCAGCAGTTTGCCCGTCTCCTCGGCAACACCATAACAGCCAAACTGCACCTGTGTGAGTAACTCAGTCCAGCTAAGGATGTTTGCTGTGAGAATTGAATCTCCAGGTGTGTGAGAGAGGCTGCCGGCCAAATTTTAACCAGCCATAAAATGTGTAAATAAGCTGAGGCTACATCATAGCGCTTAGTGACAGGCTTCCATGACAAATGGTGGTTTGAGCGAATCCAGTAGTGCTCCCATTATTTAGCTCTACCTCGCAATGGATCGCCCAGAATATAATCATATGTGTTAAAATGCTATAAATATTTCATTTTTACATACACAGATATCATTAGTACCCATATATCATCACACCCCTACTGTGAACCAAACATACTGGTAGAAAAAACTCACTGTGGCACAACACATCTTTGTTTTGTTGTGCCAAGCAGAGCCAATTTTGTAAAAAAAAAAAAAACAATAATAATAAAAAACAAATTTTGACCCACCAAACATTTACACACCTGATCATTTAGATGCAGTGAGATGAACAAGGACAGGTCTGATCTACTCAAACATCCTGGTGTACAGTATAAACCAGACTTCAGGTTTTAATCTCAAAGCATGTTTTTTATTCAAAATACAGAATAATACTTCTGCAATATTACACAGCATTTTAATCTGATGAGAGTCCAATGAACAGAACCCAAAGAAAAAGTATGAAACAGAGCATGTAGTTAACAGTTCAGTTATGAGGCGTAAAGTGGGACAGTTCGTAAAAGCAGCGATTGTGGAGGCAGCGGCTGTAAGCCAAGAACGTGTCGAGAGTGCAGAACAGGAGAGAAATGGAACCTGATAGAGGATGACATTAAATATTCATGTGATGTTTAATAATAAAATGAACTCATTCATACTCAGTCGATTCAGTTCAGAAAAGTTGCAGCGACAGTTCACCCTCCATTCAGGCAGAGAAGCGCTTTGTTTTAACAGAAATCTTGAAGGTAAAAACCTGGCAGCTGATTAACACAGTGCAGCTTCTCTGTACTTACATTTAAAATGTCAAACCAATACTCTTCTTACAGTGTTGTTGTATCTGCATGTGATGAAGATGACAAAACAGGAGTGTTACGCTACATTTATAACAGCCAAATATATATAAATACATGTATATGTACTGGTACAATATTACAATAGGATGGACCTGTCTCCTTGAAGTTATATTTATACGCTGAACACAGTGAATGGTGATCATTTATTTTATCAGCCATATATATGGAAAGTTATGTAAGCTCATATATGACCTTGAAATATACTCAAACAAGCTTTGATCTTATTATAATTTCCATTTCTGATTATTGCAGAAATTCTAATGTTTTCCAGTGAAGTAGCAATAGTGATATTGAATCATATCAGCATTATTTAGGCTACGTTCACTCTGCAGGTCTTGATGCTCAAT